AACCCCCCTCCCCCTCCCCCGTAAGATCTCTAACTATAAACACAAGTTCTGGAAAATATTCTACAATTCAACTAACCTAGTTAAAAGTCGCACTCCCCTGACTACATTATTTTACATATTGCATATGTGATGTAATTGCATCTGTATATGGATGCATGTATCACACATACATGTTCATACACTCAAAACACATTTCTCTACACATTCAAAATAAAATCCACATATGTCAACAGAGTAACAGTTTATAATTGAGGTTATTAAGTCTTTTGGAAATGTAGAAAACACCAAGTATTAAAGTAATTCATCACATAACATTCACTTGTTTCTCAATAATACACAGTTCTTTACTATTGTAGTTAATAATGCTTCAATTATAGTTAAAATCAACGTCCAAATGATATGTGTTTCTATTGCACCATGGATTTTGGCTACAGAAAGTTCCATTAACTACCTCAAGATAAGTATTAATCCACTGTGATATTGAGAGAACATGTGAAAGTTGCCAGCGGAGAGCCAACATCTTTCTTGCGCAGTAAGTCCAGCTAACATTATGCGTTTTGTGAGTATGCAAGTTGTAGGTAGTCTGTGTAGTGCAAAGTATATCACAATTTAAGATTCTAGATAAAATAAGCCAACTTGTCTCCAAATAGATAGGATAGGATAATACTTTATTGATCCCCAGAGGAAATTCTGTGTACAGCAGCACAGACAAGAAAGCTCAAAAATACACATTAAACAGAATAGATAAGATAAGAACATTTTGCTACATGCATTCCCAAGACATGTGCATAAATGAGCCAACATGAGTATCTGGCAGAGATCACAACTTGATAAAGAAGACAGTTTCACAAGGTAACGTTTCCTGGTGTAAGATAGTTCTGTGAATGAAGTTAAGGTGTATTAGTTGGAGGTTTGGTTTTGGAAGAGTCAACGATAGTTCCCCATATCTTTTTCTAACTATCATCCTCCAAAGCTACCTCCAGTTCCCTAGACCACACTTGCTGGATGTACAGATGTACACACTTGTATGGATGCTCTCCCACACTGGAGATGCAAATGGAACAGACCCAGTTAGAAGGGAATTATTATGAAATAGGGCTGGTGCCACTTCTGACTTGTTTTCGATTCTCTTCTGTTTTGCGCCATATTGATAGACTAAGATGGAGTTTGCATGTTTTAGTGGTATGGCAGAGTAAACTAAATCCTTTAATCTATGAGGAGCTATGTATTCCTCTATAGGTTTCCATGACACCACAGCATCAGGTTAAACCAATGAGATAGGCCTTAGGACAAATGACCAGGAATAGTATTTAAAATTTGGACGGAGAGACCTCCTGATGATTTATGACATCGCAGTGTGAATAACTTAACACAGGGTCGCTTCCCTCCCCAAATGAATTTAGTCACAAGTGACTGAATCTTGTCCTAGTATGTCCAGTAGTGTGGTAATGGCAACATGGAGGAAAAGAAGTTTACCCGTGGTAGGATGTCCATTTTACTATGAGACGTGAGCCTGAAGAGAAATGGGAATTTGACCATCTATCTAGATCGACAGTTATACATTTATAATTATTCCAATAGTTGTTTTCATAATGCTATTAAGAGAAGAGAAATGACCTCTCCCAGATTTAAATTGTTTGACCATAGAAGCCCTTAGTTTGATGGTCATAGGAACCTCCTCTCTAGTAATGCCTTAAAGAATAAAGAAACAACACAGTGTTTAATGTGTTGCTCAGTGTCTGCTTTGCTCTTCATATTTCATTTGTAATAAAGAAACATCATCAATGTGTCTCTTGTTGCAGGTATCAAAGATGGCAACACCTGCAGAAACAGAGGGAACGTCTTCGAGCGCGAGAAGAACGTTTTTCGGCCCTTCTCCCACCTGATTGGTGAGTAAAATGTATTTACAACATATACAGTATGTATTCTTTCAGATGAAGCTATGATCATCATTTAAATGTTTTTTTTCTTCAGAAAGGTAAATTGATTTTTGTTTTCACATATTTATAAAATTATTGTTCCTGCTGGTTCAGAAATATCTCATAAAAAAAACTCAGGTTTGATTTCCATATGAGAAGCTGGGTTAATCATTCAGAGTGAACCAGATCAAGTCTGACTGGATTAATCTTGAAGTTTTTCATCTGTTGTTGTGGTTTGATATCTAACTATCTAATCTTTCTCTCTTTTTCAGCTTTCTCAGTGATGACGACCAATCGACACGTCCATCTGATCCATCCCTCCACAGTGATCGGTCAACAGGAAAAATAATTGATTTTAAAAAATCTGACAAAAGCAAGCGAGCCAGGTAAGTGTTTTTAACAATAAATCCTGACAGTCATGTTTGTACACACACACACACACACACACACACACACACACACTGAGTCTGTTTTGCTGCATGTTTAAAAAACAAATACAATCTCATGTTGAGTCGATCATGTTTGCACTCTGAAAACTTTCATCTGTCTTTATTATTTTCACAACAGGTTTGTTTTTCTAACTTTTTTTGCATCCTTCCAATCCGTGTTCAGGATCAGTTTCTGTGTGTAAATTGGTGGTGTTCCTTTAATGTGTAGTTTCAGTATAGCTAGCAGCGTATCAAACTCTGACATCCTGAAATACACCTGAAGTGATGCTGATCATTCTGCAGCTCTTTTATCAACAGGGGAAACTCTCCTGGCTCTTGTCTTGTTTTCAGGAGTGGGTGGACCCAGAGGTTTTTATTTATTTATTTTTTAAGGACTGAAAGAATCACAAAGTCATCCTCACGGCTCGATGACTCCATTCTGTCTCACACTGACAATTTTCAGAATGAAGAGAAGAATGAACACATCTGACTCAGAGTGTGAGGTTCCTGTGTAACGTTTTGATCGGATTACAGATCTGAAAAACACATTTTAAAAAAACAGACTCAGTGTGCAAAGACCTTAAAGATGAAACAACCCCCATGGTTGATGTAAAGCAAACGCCATGCTCCTGTTTAAAAGATGTTGAAGTGATGTTGAGTTTTCAAGTCAAATGTTTGACTGAAACATCAACACCTCCTCTCTACTTTGATCCTTTGTGTCATTCATGGAATAAAGAAACAACACAGTGTTTAATGTGTTGCTCAGTGTCTGCTTTGCTCTTCATATTTCATTTGTAATAAAGAAACATCATCAGTGTGTCTCTTGTTGCAGGGATCAAAGATGGCAAAGCCTGCAGAAACAGAGGGATCATCTTCAAATCCTAAGAAGATGTTTTGGCTGACCTCTCACCTGATTGGTGAGTAAAATGTATTTACAACATATACAGTATGTATTCTTTCAGATGAAGCTATGAACATCATTTAAATGTTCTTAAGGTAAATGGATCTTTGTTGTCATGTCTCTATTGTTCATGAATGAATGTTTATTTCAGATTTTGATAATTACATTTTGTAAATCAACATTTTAGAGCCGGACCGTCTTCTCCTTCAGAGAAAATGACATGTTGCTTTATTAATGAACATTTTGGTCAACGACACAAAGTATAAATAACATGTTTCTTCTTTTTTTTTTACACTTACTTTGATCATATTAAAAAAATGAGCTGCTTTTGATTTGAATGTTTATTTTGATGAAGAATAATCATACAATACTTATTACTCCATGCAGGATGAAGAGGAGGAAGAGGAGACTAAATCAGTGATCTAAAAGTCTGAACTTTGTGTCTGGACTTTGGGCTGACTGGTTGTTTGAAAACCATGTTGAGTATAATGATCTGTAGCTCTTTTTGTGACAGCTTGATTTGGATACTTATGGATAAAACAAATGTAAATGATAAGATTTGTTAGTGACATAAGATGATGAAGTCAACTCAGCCTTAAAAACAACTGTTGTTTTCTATTATCTTACTGTCATCTGTGTACTCATTCTTTCATTTTCTCTGCTGGGATTCTTTTGATTGATTGAAGTCTTTTTTCAAATTTGTATTTTCTTTTTTCCCCCTTTGTTTCAGGATAAAAAAACAAACAAAACAGATCCACAAAAAGAAAAGTAAATAAGACAACAGAACATTTGAATTTCATGTTCGTAAAGAAGTGGGAAGAAGTGTGAATTTATAGAATCCCACCCCCTCTCCGTTAATCTGTAGTTAATAGTTGAACAGGCTTCCTTATTTAATCTTCATTTACGAATAAATAAATAACGAATCTGCAATACACATTTATATATATAAACCAATAAACATACAAAATATATAAATTAAATACAAATGTTTCTGCAAAATATAATTTCATCTATCATCCATTAAAAAAGATAAGGACAGCACTCCAAATTTGTGTATTTAATTGCCAAACGAACGTTTCGAGCCGACGCTCTTCTTCAGCGTGTAACAGGCAATTTTTCAACATGCACAGGTGTAATCAATTTATACTTGTCCAAGATGGCACACCTCCATCGCAGTAGAGAGTCTATCATTTTTGTCTATCATTTATCAACCATTGACATATTTTAACATGTATTGATTTCTTTTATCTTCTATATTCATGTTCTTCTCCCTTAATTAATGATATACAGTTTGTAGTAATACATTTAAGTTAGTGTTTTTTCTCCATTACCTATTTACCCTTCACCATACCTGTCAACATATTTACATATATACCTTCATTCCTTTTAGAAAAACAAACAGAAAAGAAAAATGAACAACCGTTATAATCACCATCATAACCACGCAGCAAATTTTAAGTCCCTTCTGCATCCTTATACTTTCTGAAAATGTTTTTATTTTTTTGTACATGTTTTAAAAGTTGTTTGTGCTTGGACTTGGCTTCAGCTCCACATTTAAACTGTTACAAAGTTTTATGCCAACAATAGAAACAGAAAAACTTCTGAATGTTGTGCGTGTGGCCAGAATTTTGAGATTCAGTTGTCTCCATATTGTAACCCCCCTCTCTATCAAAGAATAGTTTTGGGATATTTGCTGGTAGTAAATAGTTTTTTTTCTTTGTACAGTATTTGTGCTATTTGAAATTCTGTGAGTTTGAGTGTTTTTGACTGCAAGAATAATGACTGAGTGTGATCCCGATATCCAGCATTATGAATGAAGCCTATGGCTCTTTTCTGAAGTACGGAGAGTGAATGCGGTTAACTTTTATATGTGTTGCCCCGAACCTCCTCTCAGTAACTTAAATATGGTAAAACAAGTGTACTGTAGAGGGTATGGAGAGATTTGTGATTTATTTATCTATTGTTACCCCAACAAATGTGTATACATAAACTCTTTCAATGTTGACACCATCTATTTGTACTGTATTTTTGTGTTTGCTTTATATTTACCAAATAAAATAATTTTTTGTGATTCAAATTTAATGATAATTTATTTCTATCAAACCACTTTTTTAATTGTTGCCATTTCTGTAGTAATAACCTCTAATAATTGTAGATTCTCACCTGAACAAAGAATATTGTTATCATCTGCAAATAAGACCAGCTTCAGTTTATTAGAGACTTTACATACAGTATGTCATTAATGTATAAAATAAACAGATTAGGACCCAACACTGACCCCTGGGGATGCCACAAGCAATGTCCAAGCTGTCCAAATTGTTGCCTACGATACGATCCCCCCTGATGCCATATCGTTCTAGTTTATTGATCAGTATTTCATGATTTATTGTGTCAAATGCTTATTTGTAGTCCAAAAATACCCCAACTGCTTTGTGATTTCCTCTTGATTCTATTAATGCGAATGATGTTGAATGGTTTGTCTGAATCTGTATTGTACGGTGGCTGGGAAGTACAAACCAAAAGACAAATTCACTCTATGGAAAACATTTTATAAAACAAAGATACAAAAGCAAAACACCTTTTACCAAGGACACAAATTATTTACATTTCAGAAAACAAATTTAAAAGGTGTCAAACACTTTTACGAGCGCTGAGAGGAATTTACAAATGCCAGAATCTTGACGGAAAGGGAATGTACCAAATGCCAGAAGCGGTCACTTAACCTGTTTTCACATATGCAGACTATTCCTGTATCACAATGTCAACTAAAGAGTGAGAACAACATACTGACGAACAGAAAACTTAATGCAGTCGTTTAATTACCTGCATGGAGATCGTACGGTGTATACACTTTATGCACCGTGCAGCAGTCACAGTATACACGTCACTCCCCCCTCCCATTGGCTCGAGGTGAATTCTCCAGAGAATATCCTGCTGCGTTCTCACATCAGCTGACTTGGATTTGCTGTGGAAAAAAATACTATGGTGTGTGGCAGGAGAAACTCCGGTGAAGTCTGAATGAAAAATTTGGCTGTTTGCGTTCACACATGCAGCTCCTCCTGGAAATATCCTGATTTTTTTTTTAGAATTTTTCTGAAAGTGTGTAAGCCTTTTCCTGTCTCTCTTCAGCTGTCCTATCAAATAAAGGTAAATACGGCCCAATAGACTGCGTTAAACTTTGTTTTGTCCTTTGTGAAAGTGTTTTCCTTTTGTAATTTTTAATTCATAAAATGTTTTCCAAAATTTAAATTTGTCTCCAGCTTTGTAAAAGTATTTCACACTTACTTTTTCAAGTAAGCAACAGCCAAATAAGTGTGAAGTATAGCTGTATTAAGTGGCATAAATGAAGAAGGAAAAACAAACAAAAGAATGGATAGGTATAGGTAGTGCTAGTAGACTAAATTACCTCAAAACTGTACTAAAGTTCAGTATTTAATTAATGTTAATTTAGTTTATAGTTAGATTTATCAATAGCTGGATAAATACACAATACGTGAACCAAAGCGGAACAAATACATTACAAATAAACCAGAGGAAAGATATTTTTTTATGAGTATTTATTCCATAATCCTGTCCTTGTCAATTTATCTGAACTGTTCATTTAAAAGCAGCGACGTACGAAGTCCCATTGCCTGAGCGGGGGATTCCGCTTGCGGTTATTCGCCGTTTATATGCTTACAGCTTTCATCCAGAGGCGATTTTAAATCAAGACAACACCCAAAATAAACCCGAAATCAAAACGCTACTTTGAGTTTCTAAAAAAGAACCCACTGAACAAAGATTGCTTAAATCGAAGTACATGTTGACAGCGCGCCACCCCTCCAAACCGAGTTGGTCTCGCCCGAGTCTGCCCAGCATCAAACGCACATGTCGGGTGTGTTGTGCTGAGGATTGCGGTGATATTACAGCATTTAAGTGAACCGTTGCGGGCTGTCACGTTGCTGTGTGCTCTCACAATGCGATAAGCTTCTCGGTCAATGATTAAATAAATCATTAAAATCAGGGTTATAGTAGAAAACACTTTGTGTAAAGGAGCTGACACGCTAACCGGCGTGACTGCAGGCGACTGCTGTTTGACTTCACCGGACTGAAGGTTTGTACACCGTCACCACATACCTGTCATTATGAGCCTTTCTAACTACGTGTGCAATACTTGTTACATCATGAATATGTCGGCGGGGAAAAGGGCTTGTTGAAAATGACTCGTCTTTTGGCTTGGTCATGTAAAAAAAAAAAGAAAAGCTGAGCTAGCCACCTGGTGCTGAGCAATGCCACGTAGCTAACCGGCTAATGGGAGCAGACAGCCGGGGAAGTTGTGCACAATCATTGAAGGGTGCTCAGGGTGGACCTGCAGACTGAAGTGCACAGATACTTCACCTGAGTGCATTCAGTAAACCTAGGTAAAGCTCCTGCATTGAGGATGTTAGTTCAGGAAAGAACAAGTGTAATCAGGGTAGTGTGTGTAAAAAAAACCTGCAGAGAAATATGCAATGAACATTACAACTGATCCCCTTTAACAAACAAAAAGCTGACCTATGAAAACAAACTAAGAACTTAAACATCATGGATTATAGAATATGTTCATCCCCAAGAGTATAAGCAGTTATTAAAACCCGACAGATTCATCGACTGGCCGATAATATCAGACGATATTATCATATCCAGAGACGATCTGTATCGGAGGATTTTATTCCAGATGTGCGCTGATATTACTGGATTTATTCACCAGTCAAATGGCATTTAATTTGAATATCACTGTGTAACACTAGCAGTTATTGTTCTGGCTGTCACCAGCAGAGGGCGCTGTATGGATTACAATAAGCATCACTCTCCAGAGTGTGGAGCGATGATTCACGTACATGCACAGTTAATTTCCAGTTGAGTGACCATCTTGTCTTCGTTATAAATCTTTTCCACAAGTGTTTGATAACTGCATTTGAGGGATCAACGCAATAAACGTGTGTTTCTGTATCTATCTCGACAAATCCAGCACAGATCTAAGAAAGATATCGGCCGATATATCGGTTTCTGATTCTTACTTTCCCCAATATCGATATCTGTATCGGCCCTGAAAATCCTAGATTAACAGAATCTCCAAACTCCAAAATGCAAAATAAATTAAACTGGTTAATTTGATGGTAGCTGCGCGCGATGTGTTTATTGCAATTCCTCAATAACGATGAATTTGTGATTAAGTGCACAGTTGTAGTTTGAGTATGGAACGAACTCATATCTTTCTTTCATAGCTTCATTAAGTGATCACAATTGAAAATACAAGACAATACAAAGGGGTTTAAACCGGGCAGAGCATTAGAACAGTGTTAAAAAAAACAATAAACTTGAATTTTCTTTTCCTCATCAGGCTTTGGGGCTTCCTGCCGTGCGACACCATGAGCTCCAGGGTGTGTAAGAGCTGCGGCAGCTCGGACATCGATGTTGACCAGGCGCGTGGAGATGCGGTCTGTATGGGCTGCGGCTCCGTGCTGGAGGACAACATCATCGTGTCTGAGGTGGAGTTTGTGGAGACGGGAGGCGGAGGGTCGTCGGCTGTCGGACAGTTTGTCTCCTCAGAAGGTGAGAGGAATGAAATGATTCACCTGTGAGAGCAAACCTGGTCATGA